AATACAATACTTCTGTGAATAGGAGCGCCTCTCCACAGAGCTGACCTGTAACCTGCTCGGCTCTCTCATCATAGATAGGTTTAATGTATACTGTGAAATATTGTAGAAAGCAATAATAATATCCATGGATATGTTACACAGTGCATCTCTAACTCAGCTAAACTCAAAATATCCATGTTTTGATATAAGAATGTTATTTCCAACCTGGGTTTACAAGTCCAGCAGAGGCTTCCACAGAACACAACTGTTTTTGTACAGATACCAGAATAAATTGCTTTATTAACAGTGATATATTTTCATTTTGGCAGATGTATTTATTACTTTAGCTGCTATTGATTTAGCTGCCTGTAGGGCTGGGTATTGTTTAAAGGTAAAAGTAGGGAACCAAAAGAAAAGTGAAGGTAGTACTGGTAAAAAAAAAATGTACTAAAGATTTTTGCTTTCACTATCATTTTACTTTTTTAGATGGTGTGGCTTTTAATGTTGTTTATCATCTAATGTTACAGGTGCATTGTGTAACTTTTCTGGTGGAGGGTCCATCAAATGCTTTTCTTCATGGAAATGCTTTGAGGCAACCCTGCAAACAGTCAGAATGTGTTTTTCTAGGTATTTTTGGGCTATAAAACCACCTGTAATTGAATAGATGTAAAGTAGAGCTGTTTAATGTCACACTGTGGAACATTCCATGCAGATCCATGACATCTCCATAGAAAAAAAGCAGGTGACGGAGCCCCAAGAAATAATTTACATAGTACTTTTTTTAAGGTGGTACATTTATAGATGTTGTGGTTTTTGGTGTTGTTTATCTTTTAATGCTAAGCTCCGACTGTTTTAAATGTACTTGAGAAAACAAAGTGATTAGATAGGTGCTCAAACTGCTGAGTGTCTGGACCGTGAGCCTCATTGCCATGACAACTTGTTTGTTTCTCTGTAAAAGTCCATACTCAAGTCCTGTCCCTAAACTGTCTCCTGCTCTGCTTCTGTTCAACCTGAGTCCACCTCCACTTCCTAATTTGAGACTGCCCTCCTCTTCTCCTCCTCCTGTCTGTACATCACAGACTGCATTCAAAAAGAGAGGCAAAATTATGGTGTACAAAGCTCATTTATCTTAAAATTTTCATCAACACTCACATTTTCTCTGTATTTTTAATCAAGAGGTTTATATTTCCTACAAAGATCTGACAGATAACAGTGAAAGTCATTAAAACATAGTGTCATGCATATCATTTTTATTGGGAATATGATTGTGGACACTTGGCTGAAAGCTGCACTATGCAACTTTCTGGTTGTTGGTTCGTCACCTGCTTGTTTCTATGGAGATGTCATTGCTCTCCCTGGAATGTTCCTCACTATGTCATTAAACAGCTCTACCTTACATTTATTCAATTAAAAGGTGGTTTTATAGCTCAAAAACACCTACAAAAACAGACACTGTGACTGTAAGCGAGGCTGCCTCTCCACAGATTTGACCTGTAACTTGGTCTGGTTTTCCTCTCCATGAAGAGAGAAAGGTTTAATGTAAAACATTCCAAATGAAACAATAACATCTCCATGGATGAAAGCATTTGACAGACCCTCCACCAGAAAAGTTACACAATGCACCTTTATGATTTCAACACTCACATTTTCTCTCTATTTTTAGTCATATTCAGTTCAAATTACAAATGAACCAAGAAGTTTATATTTTCTACAAAGATCTGACAGATAGCCATTAAAACAAATGTATGTTAATAACAACTGCAAACTACTACTGCAAAATTTACGACTCCTTTAATGTTTGTATTATGATGTTAAAAATGTCAAGCTCTATAGTCAATTCAAGGAAAGGGCTCTAAATCCTATCATTTTAAGACAAAATAATTTAATGTTGAGCACAAAATAATGTTAGTTTCTCATGTGGTCTTAAATAGATCAAGGTAAATAGTTGCTCTTCGAGATACTAGTTTTAGTGTTGTTTTTTTCCACAGTCATGAAACATGTCACCTACTTTTACTACATGCTACTCCTTCTCACACTAGTAAAGCAAAATCGGGGCAAGACAAAGAAAGAAATGTTTCACTGGGACGTTAGCTCTGACCTAAATTACACTCAATAATCCTGAGCAAACACAATTTAAAACAAACAAAATCAATTTATGGTCCCTCCCCTTTGGCCCTCTGTGTTTGAGTCCAGTCTGTGCATGGAGTAGATGAGTCAGTATTTACTCACTGCCATTGTCGGAGTCTTCGCTGCTGCTCGGATGCCTGCTCCTCTTCATCATCGTAGTCTGTGGAGCGACAGCCAAATTTAATCCAAAAATCAGAGATGTGGAAATATCTGGGAACAAAATTGATATTTTTAGTGTATGGAATCATAACAGATGAAATTACATTCAGTTCATCTGGATCTGGATCTCATTCTTATTCACAATTGGGACACATCACTTAAAAATGTAGAAAAAAAGCAAGCTGGAAACCAACACAAAAAAAAAAAGTCAATAAAACTAAAATGATTTCATAACATGAAAAAAATAAAAACAACAGTATTAGCTCTCATGTTTTATACGGCATTTTTCATGTATTAAAAGAATGATAATATTTCTTGTTTTTTTATAAATGTTTATTGTAGAATTAAAGCGTGTTCGTGGTTCTCAGTTGACAAGTCTCGGACTTCATTTCCCATCATGCATCTGCATAAATATTACCCGGGCCGTAGCGACTCGTTTTTAGTATTAACACAAGTAGCGGCTCTGTAAAGCTGTCTATGCGATATAATTAAGGTACAAACTAGTAAAAATTTGATCAGATCTCCTCGTGTGTGATGGGCGGGATCCCGCATTACGTAACTGCGCCGCTAGCGCTGTTTACATTATGCAACATGCTGCCAAAGTGTGTCACGCGTCTTAAAATAGTCCACCTGGAACTACATTTACAGTAGTTTGACTTTCGTTATATAGTACACCTAAGCATGCACTCTTAAAACTCGCGTTTTGTGGTTAAACTGGGTTGTTAAAAACATAAAGCCTACTTTTGAACATGAGACTAGCCCCCAGCTACGCACCACATCAAAGTAAATCTGGCTCAGCGCTAGCGGTGTTTAGCACTAGCTAATGCCACATAGCATGCGCTTTATCTGCTTTAAATCGGGCACACAGCTATAAAGTCTATGCCTCAAACACCATATGAACGTATCATGTACACTCGAACAGGTTGGTAATATGTGACTGTAGGTTAATAATGTTATAAACCTCATTAGAACTGGTTAGCTTCTATAGTTAGCATGCTAGCAGCAGCTAATGTTTGTTAGCATCGCGTATCGCGTTGTCTCATGGTTCACTCCCCTGATGAAACTAGAGCAACCTGTCAAAGGTTAGGGGTCAATTATATTCTAGAAAAATCCCAAAAATATTACATTTACAGATTTAAACATCAGATCGCTTTATCATTCAAGCATTTAAGTGGTTTATGCTTCGGCTCTGCAGAATTTAGAGGTTTTCTCACAAAAATACGGCTATGGTTAATCTTTGGCGCCATTTTAAATGACGGAGTGCGTTAAAGAAAACAAACTGCGAACATAAACTTGCAAAAACCACGAGGAAAAAAGCAGTTGCACTATTCATAAGAAACACGAGAGTTTTAGAAAAAGTGGAGGGTACGTACAGAGCACAGGCCGATCAGAACTGGAGCTACACTTTGGTGCAGCGCAGTTTGCAGAGTTCCGCCTGACACAAACAGCAGCGGGCGGAGAGGCGGACCAGCCCCGGCTTCTGTGCACCTCCGCCCGGCGACACGCGAGGGCAGCACCGCCCCGAATAAAGTAGAGAACACAGTGTACTTTCCTCAAAACACGAATGGAAACTGCAGCAAAAATGCACAATCACGATATTCCGGAGTGAGGAGAGCAGCAGAGTGTGTGGAGCAGAGCCACGTTGCCCGGAGTCTGATCAAGTGTAAACAACGTGGATGTGGGTGTGTGGGTGACGCAGCTGCACTGCCCGCTGCTTTTGGGAACAAGAGCGCACGGCTTTAGCTTTTAAAGGCACAGAACCAGAAATAAACATCTACCAGCTAATAGTGAAGTGACAAGTATCGATAAACAACACGAAATGGTCTCCAACAATAATACAAAAGCTTTAAAAATGTATGCTAATATGAAAAGACCCCTGCTATTCTGAATGAGTTTTAGCCTTGTCACCTGTGCCAGCTTTGTGTTCAGTTTTTGCAGTTTGACACTTTTCTCAGGGAGCATAAACAATGGGTGAAATCTTTTCTATGTATCCTGACTGGTATTGTACAATAAATGGAAAAAAAAAAAAAAAGACTAATCTTACTGCAGTACTGCCTAATTATTGCACTTCCCATACTTAGACTACCAGTCAAGAGACTGGACACACCCTCTCATTCAGTGTTTTGTTTTCTTTTTTTCTCTCTCACTATACTGCTTTCTACATTTTAGATAAATACAGAAAACATCAAATATATGACAACATGAAATGCAGAACATGAAAAACATTGAATGAGATGGTGTCCAAGCTTTTGAGACTCAAACAAACAAGAAAAAAAAAAAAAAAAATCAGATAGTTATATTCACACGTTTGAGTAATCCGTATTAATTGTCTGTCTCCAAAGCTCAAAATATTCAGTTCCACCTTGTGATGTCATGTACGTAGTGGTAGTTTTGAAGTTAACAGCAGTTCCCTTTAGTTCAGTAGAGACTGGCAATGCTAGGGCTGAAATGATCCAAATGATTCTAGTGGAGCACTTCCTGTATTAAAACATGACATCACAAGGTGGAACAGAATGTTTTCAGTTTGAGAGAAGAACTATAAATGTGTAGGGTTAGTGTGTTAAACATGTGTGAATGAAACAAAACATAACTCCAGGTCTAATGTTAGTGATGAGGAAACTAGATTAGAACAGATCAGAAAATAGTGTAATATGGACTCTTTAACATTGGAATAATAAAATGCACCAGAACTTGGTAGAGCTATCTCTTGGAACAAAGGCAAACGAAAAATTCAATTTGTCAACTGGACAAATGTTTATTTAGGTTGGAAAATTGACAAATTCAATTTCAACTTTGTCATGGATTCTAGCTGGACGACTGAGGGATTCTACACACCTCTTGGAACAAAAAACATGTTTTAAATAATAAAAATAGTAATAAAATGAATAAAACCAATTCAAAACACGTTATTTTCACACATTTTATGTATCATTGACACATTTGAGAGTAGTTATGTTAAACAGTGATAGGAAAAGATTAAAACACACTATGCACAGTACATATTACATCATAACTGTTGAGGAATGTTGCATCCCCTGCATAGTCTTAGCAAGTACCCATCCAGTTCATTGTTGACATTTCTCTGTTAGCTCTGGCGTCATCCAACTATTACAGAGCTTGTCCTTCTTTACGTTATCAGGTTCTTGGTTAACTAGTCTCACAGCAGTGATGTGCTATGCTCTTCTCAATTTATCTCAGCCAGCACGTCTCGAGCCTGTCCTTAGCTCCTATTTAAACTTTCTTGTGTAGAAGCCTACACTGTTAGTAAATAAACTTCTCCTGCCTCGACATCCAGAGTCTTCAGCCTCTCTGTACAACTCTAGGACACGTTACAGGCACCTTATTTTCCCTAACAATAGCGACCAAAGCAGTTATCAAATGAGATGATGTGACCAAACACAGTTAACAAATAATAAACAAAACAAACTGCATAGTTGATCAAATAGTATTTTTTGACCCTTATCTGTTAATATTAAGAAATCAATACATTTCCTGGATACATGTACTGGCTATTGTAATTATAAAAGGTAAGACAACGTGAAATCATCTCCACACAACATGTACAGTGAATATGAAGTGCATAATACATTAGTAATAGCATAATGCCCATTATCGATCAGTGATGGCTCAGGAATTGGTTATCAAGTTAATGGATAAAGGAAACAGTCCTTCTTTAAAAACACAGAGGATCAGACAGGAGTCAGCAGAGGAAAAACCCAACAGAAGTGGAGACATTTTACATTTATGGATTTTTACACATTTTAGGACAGTGATTCTTGAGTAACCCCTAAACTGTATAATTCTCCATGAAGATGGTTTGGCTTTGTCTGGAATGTTTCACAGTACGGCATTAAACCTTTCTATCTTGATGGAGAACAAACCAGACCAAGTTACAAGTCAGATCTGTGGAGAGGTGACCCCGCTCACTTTTTTTTTTTAGGTATTTTTGAGCTATAAAACCACCTGTAACTGAATAAATGTAAAGTAGAGCTGTTTAATGTCATATAATTCCAGGCAGGTGATGGACCCCCAACCAAAAAGTTACATAGTACACCTTTAAGTAAGTAATAATACAAGTCATAATTTGATCATCTGTTCACTATTATACTGTACATTATTTTACAGTTAGTTTACATGTAGTTTTATGTAGAAGTCATTTTCACTCAGTATTTCACTGCTGACAGAAATTACATTACAGCAATTTTTGTTTCTTATTTATATTTGTGCTAAAGTGGAGCTGGTGGCAAAAGTGTGTTGGTTGTTGCATGCTAGTTGTTGTTAGCTTTAACATTACAGTTCAACCAAGCCCATGTTTCTGTCAATCATCAGAACAGCTTTGTACTGTTTTCCTTATGACCTCTTGTATATAACTGTGACATAGTGTATTTATATCACGATATTTCTGTTTTTTTACTTTACTTGTGCATATACATTTACAAAATTATGTTTTATTTGACTCCTGTCTGGTCCATGTACCATTTGTTCTTTTCAATTTCAATTAAGAACAAAAAACAATAAAATGGGAAAACAGTTTATTTCATTATTCCTTTTATTGTCAAACAAAAAACAGATTTCAACCTCTATTTCCAATATTTTATGCTGCAAGACGGTCTTACCTTCTTTTATAGCGATGCGTTTACTTTCGCTTCTTAGAAAGTCGTTGTTGAAATCGATATGGAGAAATAGGAAGCAGCGATAAACTGAATTCACACACGCAGCACTAAGCAGCAAAGCAACATATAAACCAGAGAATAAAATCTCAAAATTGAAATGGGCACAATGACTGTTTTTTGATTGGTGTTATTTGAAATTAACTTTAATTTAAATATTGGAAATAGAGGTCAAAATCTGTTTTTTGTTTGACACTAAAATGGAACTATATTAATTACTGTTTTTCGTTCTTATTTAGAAGTTTTATTACCTTTATTTTTTTACATTTTGTTATTGTATTATAAGGATGTGTGAGCTGCTGTGTCCAAGTCATTTCCCTTGTGGATCAATAAAGATTGTCTATGTCTAAACTCCGCTCTGGTTTCTGTGAGTTGTGTAAAGCTCTTATAAACTCATCATGGTGAGTAATTCGGATGCTCTGAATGCATAAGATAAGTGAGGAAGAACTTTGGACCACTGCAAACCATTTAAAATTAACTTTTTTGTTTTTCATTTTTTTAACACGGTAAAAATCAGTTAGAGCACCTTTATTTAATACTCTTATCCTAACCTCTGAAGTAGTTATAGCCTTGAATCATTCCTAACAGTTATTCATTAATTCTCTGTCTCCTATAAGTCTTTTTCACATAATGACTTGTTCACATAATCTTAAATCCATGTGCCCAAGTAGTTTTATTTTTGTTTTGTTTTGTTATCTGATGGCGAGGATGGCGTCGTAGCACTTCCCCGTTCGGCTCACCTGGACGTCGTGGAAACCGGTCTTATTCAAAATGGCGGTGTACTCGGAGGGGCGTCTCTCTCTGCCTTCGGTCTGGACCAGCATGTTCAGGGAGAAGACCTGAGCTGTGATGGGACCCCTGTGGTTCTCAAACAGGAGGGCCTCCACCAGAAGAACGCCCCCTCCTGGACACATGACAGAAACATGCTATGTGTATGTGATGGAGGAGGCGGGTTTAAAGAAAGTGTGGGTCATGATTGCCAGGTCTAAGGAGGATCAAAAGTTAAGCTTTCCCTCTTTTTATTTAAATGAGAATCAGCTGGCTAATGTAACAAAAACAAAATACTTGGTCTATATTATTAGAAATGACTCCTGTGATGATGATGAAGATTCAGTGTCAGTGTTATTAACTGTATTCTTAAGTGAATATGCTGGCATGTGAATTCCACATGTATACAAACGATGTCAAAATGACTCTTTTTAGATCAGACTGTACCCCACTGTACACAGCTCAACTACGGTGTCATTACAGCAAAGCAAAGATGAATAAGATGAAGGTGGCAAATAATGATGCTCTTAGAATTCTGCTAAAGACTCCAAGGTGAGAAAGTGCTCATGCTTTGTTTGTGACTGCAAATATTCCCACATTCCAGGCTCTAATGAGGAGCCTCATGTATACATTTATGTGTATGTTAAATGAATCAAGAAATGGAATTATAACATGTTTGACTGATATTAAGAAAAGTGACACCCAATATTATTCTGACATCTGGAAATATTGGAAGAGCAGCTGTGTGTTTTAATTCTTCAGACCTTATGTCACTGTAGGTTTTTGTGTGTATGTGCGTGTGTGTGTGTGTGTGTGTGCATGTGTGCGTGTGTGCGTGTGTGGGTGCAGGTGGGTTTATATATTGTGGCTGTGTGTCTTTCTGTGTACGGTTTGGACCCTGAGTCTGTAAATAAAGTTTTCTATATAAAGGTGCACTGTGTAATTTTTCTGGTGGAGGGCAGTGTTGGGGAGTAACAAATTACATGTACCAGAGTTACATAATTAGAGTACAAATGATGAGTAACTGTATTCAGTTACAGTTACTGTTTCAATGAGTGGTAATTGGATTACAGTTACTTTGTTGAAATAAATGGATTACACTGCGGTATTTTCCTGTTTTCACATTTTGGGCTATATCCCTTTTTTAAATTTTTTTATTTTTATTTCAGTAATTCCACTCATTGCTGGAAACCCAAACAGAACATGGCAATAAGAGCGACATAAACATCTTGTTAACATTGGTGCATCAGTCACACAATGGACGAGGTCGTTAATAATCAGTGTTGATAATAATCTGACTCTGCATCATTTTGAGTAAAAAAGATCCAGTATTACAGATTTTTACTGGGCTGGTGCCTTTATGTTTGTACTGAAAGTGATTTTCTTTTTAAATAAACAATATGACACCGAACAGTAGGTGGACATAATTTAAGGTGATCTCATAAACAAATCATTTCTCTATCAATAATATTTTTAATCTGGTTAAGGAAAGACTGGTCTTTTTATTCTCTTTAAGCAAACAAAACATTATAAATTAAGATTTCCTTGTCTTTGCTTCTCTACAGTAAACAAAAGTCTGTTCATGGAGACTTGGGCTCAACAAAGAATTTGAAGAGAACAAACAAGAATTTTCAGGATGTGGTTGGTACATTCATGTCGTTTTAAAAAGACAAATGACAATATCAAGTAATCCAAAGTATTCAGATTACGTTACTCACTTTAGGTAATTTAATGGATTACGTTACAAACTACATTTTGGGGTATGTAATCTGTAATCTGTAGGGGAATACATTTTAAAAGTAACCTTCCCAACACTGGTGGAGGGTTTGTCAAAAACTTTTCTTCATGGAGATGTTTTTGCTTTGTCTGGAATGTTTCACAGTACAGCATTAAAACTTTCTATCTTCACGGAGACCAAACCAAGTTACAGGTCAGATCTGCGGAGAGGCGACCCTGCTCACATTCAGAATACCCGCTTTTTTTGTTTGTTGTTTTAGGTATTTTTGAGCTTTAAAAACTGTTTATGGACAATATTATGAAAAGTAAATGAGGAGATTTGGAGGCCATGTGTGTGACTGCACCTATACTGTAACTTTATTTTATGCCATTTTACTTTTATTGTATTTTTACTGCTGTTTCAGAACTATATGTGGCTCGCACCAAAATATTTAATAAAAACAAGTAAAATAAATAAATAAAGCCCTCTGTAATTGGATAAACATAAGGTAGATCTGTTTAATGTCAGACTGTAGAACATTCTAAGCAGAGCAATGACATCTCCAAGGAAACAAGGAGAGACAGAAAATTATGTTCAATATGAGGATATGTTTTTGTCAATAAATATTACTGGCAATGAATCCAGCTTTGTTCCGTAATAATCCAGCTTCGTTCCATAATAATAATAAGAGTGGAGTGTACAGTTGAGGGCTCCAGTCTACAGCCCTTCAGCCCTTCAGCCCTTTAGTTTTTTCACTTCTTCACTTCTTTTCCTGAATGAGACGGGAGCTTCTCTGACCTGGTTTACAAACGCTGTGGATCCTTCGTAACAGAGAGACACACTTCTCCTCGGGCCAGTCGTGAATGATTCGAGCCAAAACAAAAAGATCAGCCGAAGGGAGGGCATCAGTGAAGAAATCTCCTGCAAATTCAGACAAGCTTAAGAAACACAGTGAGGCACAAGATTATCTGTTTCTTGTTCATATTTGATTTAAAAGGATTACACAGAGATTACACAAAATTGACTCTTGTAATCTTTAAAGGTGCACTGCGCAATTTTTCTGGTGGAGATGCTACAGCTTTGCCTCAAATGTTCCATGGTATGACTTTAAAAACACATTTCCATCTAATATTTATTCATAACAGGTGTTCCGGTAAATGGAGGCAACTCTCCACAGATCTGACTTGTAATATTGGGTAGTGCTGTAACCTGCTTGTCTCCCTTGTGATAGGCAGCTTTAATCTAGACTGTGGAACATTCTAGACAAAGCAATAACATCTCCATAGAGACAAGCAGGTGGCGGACCCTCCAATAGAAATGTTACACAGTGCACCATTAAGTCATGTTAGAATGTTGTTCCCTTCTCAAAAACAGACCTGGAGTTGTGTTTTGTTTTATTCACACATGTTTGAGTAACTCTTTATTATTAGTTTGTCTACATCTACCAAAGCTCCAAATGCTCTGTTCCACCTTGTGATGTCATGAAGCGGTAGTTTAAGTGAACCGCTCCTTTTACCTTTAGTTCAGTAGAGATTGGAAATGAATCTAGTGTAGTTATGTCTAGGTGTATGGCGTTTAAAAACACAGTGGAGCACTTCCTGTATTACCACATGACATCACAAGATGAAACAGAGTGTTTTCTGTTTGTGAGAAAAACTCTGCAGGGTTTGTGTGTTTGTGTGTTAAAGTTGCATTCAGTGTTGTACAAGTTCACACTTTTCATGAACTAGTTCAAAGTTCAGTTCACACATGTTCAAAGTGAACAGTTCATGTTCATAGTTCATCATTTTAATTTAGAACTAGTTCAAAGTTCAGTTCATTTTATTTTTAGGTGAGAAATGTAAATGAAAGGCTGAACTTATTTTTCAAACTGACTTCCAGTTTACAACAACTTTACAACATATAAACCATAAGCACTATAGAGCCATATCAGTCCGTTTGACATTATAATGTGTTTAATTCAGCTTTGACACATTTGTTTACGTCTTAGAGAAACAAAACTTAAAACTGCATGGCTAATTTGCTGTAAGACGGTGGAAAAAAAAACTGTAAACGGTGGAAAAAAGCGGCTTTGTCCTTGTGCACTGATGCATCAGCTTCTGTCGGCCTAAAGGACACAACTATATGTGTTCTTTTAGTGACAGAGGGATGTCACTGCAACTTTGGACGTGTAATTTGTAGAATGCAAAGTGATAAGGGCAGTTCTATTGGAGCAGCGTGTCCTGCACGCGGAGATTTCAAAAAATCCACCCTATTTTTTGACGCGTATCCCCATCAAAATACACAGAGAGCATTTATCTTTTGTTGTATATTTTGCTGTATTTGTGCATTTATCATCAGCACAACGTGCTCCTGGGCAGTTCTGTATCCTGTGAAAGAGCCCAAGTCCAGAAAGACTGTTCATTAATGCTTTCCCATTGAGAAACACAGAGCTGGAGCCACGCCCTCACGAAACCACTGCCGCGCGTCAACGCAAGTGCGGCTGCACCGGCAGCTGCAGCAGGACACAGACACACGGCATGGCTCTGTGTTTGTCAATAGGAAAAACGATCAAACTTGACTGGGAGCGTTTAGCTGCTTGTATCAGGTCCACAGTGAAACTAAAAAGTGCGAGCACGCCTCTCATCAGGTGAAAACAAATTCCGACGTTTAATTGAACCCCAACAGTGACGTACATCGTTCATCTCACATAATTTGAACAAATTCACGTTCAAGTTCTTGCTTGATTTACAAAAGTGCTACGTTCAGTTCAAAGTTCACGGAATAATGAACGTGTTCACTGAAAGCATTCTTTTGAACTCATTCATGCACAACACTGGTTGAATTGTGTAACTTTTCTGGTGGAGGGTGTGTCATGTAGACTTTATGGCTTCGTTTGAAATGTTCCACAGTAGCATTAAACGTATCTTTGAATTTATTAAATTCCAGGTGTATTTATTGCTTAAAAAAACCTGAGCATGGTCGCCTCTCAATAGATCTGACGTGTAACTTGGCGTGTTGGTGTCACTTTTTTGTCTTCACGGAGGTAAGATACTGTATGTTTAATGTAATACTGTGAACGATTCTTCTGGACAAAGCAACAACATCTCCATGGAGACAAGAGGGTAAATGATTCTCCTCCAGAAAAGTTACACAATGGACCTTTAAACGTGTGAATGAAACAAAACACAAGTCCAGGTCTGTTTGTGATCAGGAAACATTAGAACAGATCAGAAAATAGTGCAATATTGGCCCTTTAAAGATGCATTGTATAACTTTTCTGCTTTGCTTTGTCTGGAATGTTTCACAGTATAGGCATTAAATCTTTTTATTTCCACGGAGACCAAACCAGACCAAGTTATAGATCAGATCTTTGGAGAGGCGACTTTGCTCACAGTCAGAATGTCTGTTTTTCTAGGTATTTTTGAGCAATTAAACCACCTGTAATTGAATAAATGTAAAGTAGAGCTGTTTAATGTCACACTGTGGAACATTCCAGGCAGAGTAATGACATCTCCATAGAAACAAGCAGATGAAACGAATTCCCAACCAAAAAGTTACACAGTGCAGCTTTAGGTGAATTCTAAGTAGACTCTGACCCTTCTGAAATGTGATGTCGTCGTCTTCTTGGGTGAAATGCTTCTGTGCAGCTTCAGTGACGGACGGCAGGTCGTACACCGTCACAGTACACGAGGGGTACTGTCTGCTCAGCTCACGAGCCAGGGCCCCACTGCATCCTGGGAAATACACAACGCAGGTCAAAGAGTGAGAGTGTGGCAAAGTGTTACGCAACACTTTATACAGTAGTATCAACAGACAAACTGAACAAAACAAACCGGACGTAGACAAACTTTATTGATCCACAAGGGAAATGATTTGGACATGGTAGCTCACACATCACAATATAATAGAATAACAAAGAGAAACAATATATAAAATGGTAAAAATACATTCTAAAAAAAGAACAAAAATTGAATCTGTGCCTTATGCCTGCTTATTTCACTGTATGTAAAGCACTCTGTAACTGTTAAGAAAAGAGCTATGTAAATAAAATAATATATAATAATAATAATAAAAAATAATAATAATAATAATAATTTGAAGCAGAAGTAGTAGTAGAAGAACTAGTAGTACTAATATTAGTAGTAATATTAGTAGTAGTACTAGTAGTAGTACTAGTAGTAGTAGTAGTAGTAGTAGTAATAGTACTAGTAATAGTAGTAGTAACTGTAGTAATAATAGTAGTAGTAGTAATAATAGTGGTGATAGTAGTAGTAGTAGTAATAGTAGTCATATAATAGTAGTAGTAATAGTAGTTGTAGTAGTTGTAGTAATGGTAGTTGTAGTAGTAATAGTAGTAGTAGTAGTAGTAGTAGTAATCCATATAGCACATAGTCATTTTTAGAGTATTTGAGTATTTGCAGTGGGATTAGGCGAAGCAAATTTATTTGTGAAGCTCAATTCAAAGTGGACACGGGACAATAAACAAAAACATGGTGAAGGTGTCTTGGACACTCGGGTGAAGAGAGGGGCTGAGCTGTCAACTGATCACCACCTGGTTGTGAGTTGGGTTCGCTGGTGGAGGAAGAAGGCGGAAAAACCTGGCAGACCCAAGCGTGTAGTGAGGGTCTGTTGGGAACGTCTGGCGGAGCCTCTGTCAGAGGGACCTTCAACTCGCACCTCCGGGAGGACTTCTCCCGGATTCCAGGGGAGGCTGGAGATATGAAGTCCGAGTGGGCTTCATTCTCTGCCTCTATTGTCGATGCGGCTGCTCGGAGCTGTGGGCGTAAGGTCTGTGGTGCCTGTCGCGGTGGCAATCCCCGAACCCGGTGGTGGACACCGGAAGTAAGGGATGCCGTCAAGCTGAAGAAGGAGTCCTATCGGGTCTTGTTGGCTCGTAAGACTCCTGAGGCAGCTGATGGTACCGGCGGGCCAAGCATGCTGCAGCTCGTGTGGTTGCGGAGGCAAAAACTCGGAGCTGGGAGGAGTTCGGGGAGGCCATGGAGAAGGACTATCGGACGGCCTCAAAGAGATTCTGGCAAACTGTCTGGTGCCTCAGGAGGGGGAAGAAGTTCTTCGCCAACACTGTTTGCAGTGCGGGGGGAGAGCTGCTGACCTCGACTGGGGACGTTGTCCGGCGGTGGAAGGAATACTTTGAGGATCTCCTCAATCCCACCGTCACGTCTTCCGAGGAGGAGGCCGAGGCTGGGGACTCGGAGGTGGACTCATCCATCACCCTGGCTGAAGTCACTGAGGTGGTTGGAAAGCTCCTTGGTGGCAAGGCTACGGGGGTGGACAAGATCCGTCCTGAGTACCTTAAGTCTCTGGATGTTGTGGGTCTTGGCTGACATGTCTCTTCAACATTGCCTGGCAGTCGGGGACAGTACCTCTGGACTGGCAAACCGGGGTGGTGGTCCCTCTGTATAAGAAGGGGGACGGGAGGGTGTGTTCCAACTACAGGGGAATCACACTCCTCAGCCTTCCCGGTAAGGTCTATGCCAGGGTACTGGAGAGGAGAATCCGGCCGATAGTCAAACCTCAGATCCAGGAGGAGCAGTGTGGTTTTCGTCCTGGCCGTGGAACACTGGACCAGCTCTACACTCTCCATAGGGTGCTCGAGGGTTCATGGGAGTTTGCCCAACCAGTCCACATGTGCTTTGTGGACTTGGAGAAGGCATTCGACCATGTCCCTCGTGGTGTCCTGTGGGGGTGCTCTGGGAGTATGGGGTCCGGGGCCCTTTGCTAAGGGCTGTCCGGTCCCTGTATGACCGGAGCAGGAGCTGTGTTTGCATTGCCGGCAGTAAGTCAGACCTGTTCCCGGTGCATGTTGGACTCCGCCAGGGCTGCCCTTTGTCACCGGTTCTGTTCATTGTGTTTATGGACAGAATTTCTAGTCAGGGGCCGGAGGGGGTCCGGTTTGGGGGACCACAGGATCTCATCTCTGTTGTTCGCAGATGATGTTGTCTTGTTGGCTCCATCGAGCCAGGACCTGCAATGTGCACTGGGGCGGTTTGCAGCCGAGTGTGAAGCGGCTGGGATGAAGATCAGCTCTTCTAAGTCTGAGGCCATGGTTCTCGACCGGAAAAAGGCGTCTTGCCCTCTCCGGGTGAGTGGAGAGTCTTTGCCTCAAGTGGAGGAGTTCAAGTATCTCGGGGTCTTGTTCACAAGTGAGGGGAGGACGGAACGTGAGATTGACAGGCGGATCGGTGCAGCTTCGGCAGTGATGTGGTCGCTGTATCGGACCGTTGTGGTGATTTACCGGTCAGTCTTCGTTCCTACTCTCACCTATGGTCATGAGCTCTGGGTAGTGACCGAAAGGACGAGATCGTGGATACAAGCGCTTGAAATGAGTTTCCTCCGCAGGGTGGCTGGGCGCTCCCTTAGAGATAGGGTGAGGAGCTCAGTCACACGGGAGGAGCTCAGAGTAGAGCCACTGCTCCTCCACGTCGAGAGGAGCCAGCTGAGGTGGCTCGGGCATCTGTTCCGGATGCCTCCTGGGCGCCTCCCTCGGGAGGTGTTCCGGGCATGTCATATATATAAAGGTTGATTAAAAATGGAACTTAACATTAAAATTTGAATTATTCATAACTGTAACATTTTTAAACTGTCAGTTTAATTATCATCGTTATATAATTGTAAATCGCAGTTATTTTGGCCATTATAATTGTGACACCAAATGTCAGTGTTGTCCCATACCTAATGCAAACATCTGACAAACCCTCCACCAGAAAAGTGACACTCTGCATCATAGAAAATGCACTGTGTAAATGTTCAGATGTCCTACCTCCAAGGTCGACGATGGTTTTAAAGGGCGAGAGGTCGAACGCCGTGACGATGTCAGGTCCATCGAGAATCCAAGAAGATTTCATCAGACCCATGAACTTCAGCATGTCCTCCTCCGATCTGAGAGTTCCACAGAGAAAAAGGTTTAAAGCTGCAGTATGCGACTTTTTGGTTTTGGGTTCAGTCATCTGCTTGTTTCTATGGAGATGGAATGTTCCACAGTGTGACATTAAACAGCCCTACTTTACATTATCCAATTACAGGTGGTTTTATGTGACAAAAATAACTCGAAAACAGACATTGTGACTGTGAGCGGGGTCGCCTCTCCACAGATGTGCCCTGTGACTTGGTCTGGTTTGGTCTCCATGAAGATAGAAAAGTTTAATGCCATACTGTGAAACATTTCAAAGCAATAACATCTCTGTGAAGAAAAGCATTTGACCATCTATGACGTCCATAGAAATTTATTTTGTATTTTAAACATTTTAAATTGCAACACTGATCTAAAACTACTTGATAAAAGAAACAAGTGCTGGTTTATGGTAGAACATTTCCTTTACCTGTAGATGGTTTCAAAGACCTGATCTGCTGGAAGCCCAAAGGTTTTCTCATTTTGGTTCTTTCCTTCCCTGAACAAAAGAAAAAAAAAAAAAGAAAGAAAAAGTGTTAAATGAATCACAAACTAGTGAAAAGTGGTGATAGAATTGTGCATAGTGTGTAGTGGGTATTTCTTTATTCCCAGGATCCTTCCACCAAAGACCACTTTGTGGCACTCCTCTGGAGTCGGCTCCACAGCTCCTGGAGCGCTCATGGAACAGGCTCCAGAGGAGCGACTGCACCGTGTCACGTGAACAAATCAAACGTGATAAAACTCTGAGTGGTAATAAACATCAGTGTTTCTACAAACAAAAAGTGTTCAGAAGTATTTTTGATCAGATGATCATTTGATCCCCAGTTCCGTTGCTGCATTTGTCCTGATTTGAATTCATTTGATCTGATAAGAGTGTGATCTGCAACAATGTGGCTAAAACAGCAAAATACTGTATTTACTTCTTTTTTTTATTGTGTAACGAGTTTTATTTTATTAGAGTGCATTTTACTGCTTCAATAAATTCGGAGAGCACTGTTGACAATTTGAAGCCCTCCAAGGTGTCCATGCATCCTCGGTAAAACAACCAAACGGATGAGTGGAGCGTGGAGGACGTGAGGACTTTGAAGGAAGTAGAACAGCAGTGGGCGGAGCTCTGATGACACGGATCTGTCCAGAGTGTTTCAGAAACTGAGGTGATTGGAAAACACCGAGTGATTTTGTAGTATTAGGGCTGTGCTTTAACAATACAGTTTCTAGTAGGAGATTTTGCAGTGACGTTTCTGAGGTGCTGAGCATACATATATGTTTATGGGGGAGTGTTCAGCAGTTACCATGGTGACACAGTTCACACTTTAACACACACAGCCAGAAATGTTTTAAGATTGTCTGAAAACAAAATGAATTTAAATATTTAACACATTTTCAGGATCAGCACGAGTTCATGGTTTTGTTTAAGAGTTTGATTTTCAAAAAAAAGGTGAGAGGGACTAAAAAAGTGCAGTAATTACAAGTTGTGTTTATCCGTGGGTTTCAGAATAAGGACACTCGGCATTAAAATTAACAATTTATAACAAAATATTTTATCAGTTGAATGGGGAAAAAGTCTCAAAATGTTGCTTTGGAAGAGGAAGCTGAAGAGTTACTGACCGGACAGCGTCGGCCAAGTTGTTCCACAGAGGGTAGATGGTCTGGGACTGGTACAGGACCATGTCGTGCAGAGACCTGGGGCTGTTTTTGGTCAGATACAGGTTCGACACATCAGTGCTGCTGTAGAGGGCTGAAAGAGAACAAACAGGATCAGGGTTATAAACAAAAGTCTCTCGTATACTCCTCTGCTCCACTGAGCTCTTCATCTAGAACGCCTGTTTCTTGGCAACTCTAGCCTCAACATCTTTCTACCCATACAGTATATCCACTGTCCTCCTCTGTACCATATATTCTCTGTTTCTCCTCTGTACTTGGTTCATTATCCCTTCTTACTACGTGCCCCTAAAAAACTATAACTTTACCAATAACCATAAAGAGTTGTATTGTGCACAGTGGCAAATAGAAGCAGCATTGTGTAACAGAACAGAGAAAACATTGTACAAGTTCAGAATATATGAGTTGAGTTAAAGGTGTAAAGAGACAAATGAACTCCAGATGTTTCCTGTTTGGGCACAGAGGGGAAGAGAGAGTCCAAACAGCTGCAGAGAACTTATCAACAACAGACTGGTACAGAACGTCAAAAACATGACAGATGTGTGAAATGTCAACAGAGACACTTAGGCTCTGTTCAGACTGCAGGGCTTAATGCTCAGTTTGGATTTTTTGTGAAGTCAGATTTCTTTGCGAGGTTGTTCACATTCCCAGGTAAGTGTGACTTATATGTGATCTCCAGTGAACTTTAAACATCCCAAAAGTGTCCTGCATCTGCACTGGAGGACACGACGACGTCACACGCAGAGAGTGTGCTCAGTGTTTGCGGAAGTGAGCACTGAGAACCTGGCGATGCCTCGGCTCAGAATCGTGACGTTTGTGGCTTGTTGATGATGAGTAGGTGGATGAATGTGACCTGACCATTCAGACTGAAGTCACATGTCAAAAGATTGGACATTTATCAGTTTTAAGAGCACATATCCAGTGGCCTGGGTCGCATTTGTCTGTGTCGTTCAGACTGACATTAAAAGATCAGATACAGGAGCATAAGGGGCTAAAAATTCAGATTCAGATCACTTCAGGCTGCAGTCTGAACAAAGCGATAGAGATCCTGGTACATACATTTTTTGCAGTAACATATTCATATCACTCAATCCACTGCACCTCTGTTCTCTCAGACCTCTGTCCTCTGTCCTCTCAGACCTGTCCTCTCTGACCCTTGCCCTTTGACCCTTGTCCTCTGACCTGTCTCTTTGCTCGTGTCCACCTCCAGGATCTCAAAATCAACATATTCATATCACTCAGTCCACTGCACCTCTGTCCTCTCAGACCTGTCCCCTCTGACCTCTGCCCTCTGTCCTCTCAGACCTGTCCCCTCTGACCTCTGCCCTCTGTCCTCTCAGACCTGTCTCCTCTGACCTCTGCCCTCTGACCTGTCTCCTGGCTCGTGTCCACCTCCAGGATCTCGATTCCGACCAGAGCGTCCAGGAGTCTCTCTGCTCCGTCTGAGCTCAGGTTCAGTTTGGCCGCGACCTGAGCCGCGCTCAGGGGGTCAGAGGTCAACAGGAGGTCAAACACTCCCAGCTCACACGCAGAGAAGATGATCTGAAGCAGAGGAGGAAGAGAGAGAAGAGAGGGATGAAGAGAGAGAACTCAAGGTTAAAGTGCCTGTGACAGGTTAGACGACTCATTTTACCAAAACACAGTCAAGATCATTATTTAAGATTTCGCTTTCAAATTTAACTTTTTCCTCACTTTGGCCAATTTGTAGTTTTTTTTTAAATGTTATTTTACTTCCTGCTTGGGTAATGACCGAAAGGACGAGATCGCAGATACAAGCGGACGAAATGAGTTTCCTCCGCAGGGTGGCTGGGTGCTCCCTTAGAGACAGAATGAGGAGCTCAGTCACACGGGAGGAGCTCGGAGTAGAGCCGCTGCTCTTCCATGTTGAGAGGAGCAGTTGAGGTGGCTTGGGCATCTGTTCTGGATGCGTCCTGGGCGTCTCCCTCAGGAGGTGTTTATGTCCCACCAGGATGAGACTCTGGGGCAGACCAAGGACACGCTGGAGGGACTATGTCTCTAAGCTGGTCTGGGAACAACTCGGGGTAACCCTGGAGGAGCTGGAGGAAGTGTCTGGGGTGAAGGAAGTCTGGGAGTCCCTGCTTAAACTGATGCCCCTGCGACCCAACCCCGGATAAGAGGAAGAAAATGGATGGATGGACTTCCTGGTTGGAAATCCTGACATCCCACTAGGGAATCCTAACATAAATGTTACCTAACAACCATACAGTAGACTGGGCCAAAACCAAAGAACTAGAATAAAATCTTCTTCTATTCTTCTATCTAGTTCTTTAGTTCTTATAATAGCAGATAGATACATTTTATATTATAGTTCTTATCCATGGCCAAACCCCTCTCATGTACACTGCAATTACTGTAATATTTGACTAATTTAAATGGACCTCCCATTATTCGTAATTTTTTTAAAACCTTCCTAAAATATTTGCTCTTGGTCTGGGCAAATTGCGAGACCGACTGAATGCCTTGGACATGTCTAATGATGTGTAATATTTGATGCACCTGTCACATTTGTGCAATAACAATGTTGTGATCATTCTGATGCCAACTTGAAAAGATTGTAGACTATAAAAGTAATCTTCATTTACAAAATACACAGTCTATGTCACTGTTGTCTTATTTAGTGCAGTTTAGTCCATTGATTTACCTTAGAAATCCTGAATCCGTTGAAATATTCCAGAAGTTTAAAGGGGTAGTCCAGTTCACTTTGGGAAAGGTGTTCTGCCATGCTGCTACTGCCGACGGTGGTGCGCTCTAGGAATTTACAAACTTCAAAATACAGTCAGATTTCATTTATTTGCCTTTATTTATGCAATATTTAAACCGCTTAACGTTACCTCTTTTGATATGTGCCAGCTCCGTGCAAACCGTGGAAGAGAGGAGTGTCTTGGTTGTCCAAAATCCGCAGTTTGAGCTCGTTTTTGGGGTATAAATATCCAAAATGTCGGGGGTTGTCAGCGGGGGAGCTCTCGGTGCTTGGAAATTGGGCAAAAATACCTCATTTCTTCTGCTTCCTGTTCCTGTTCCTCTGAGAGCTAAATCAAAAGGTCAATATTCAGGATCAAGGATGAGCAGGGAGCAGTGAAGAGGAGGAGGAGAATTCGCTGCTTTTGGTGAATCCGCAGTTCGATAAAAAACTACAAGTCCCAGAAAACGGACTACAACAAGCGCAGCGTCCTCCACTACTGCGTCTAATGAGAATTATCGAAACCTGTCAGTGTGTAGAGCCGATGTTTTTTATCACAGTAGTCTACAGAAAGTGGCGTAGGATCTGTACAAGTACGCGCTCTAAAAAGTTTCACATGAAGCACCTCGGACGCGATAAAAGCACAGAACAGACTCACTCACCAGCAGCTCACGCACGAATCACACAGAGAACAAGTATATAGTGCAGGGTCGGGTGTATCAGTCGGACAGAAGATGACGCGTTTGAGGATTAAAAGGCAGATTTCAGAAAAACGGAGCAGCTGCAGTACCGGGTTCATCCGCAGCAGCAGGCGGCGCTGTCGACCTGTTAAAGATACACCGTTTATTTACCACATTTTCGTAGATTTACTTAGTTATAATTTCGTTTTTATTATAGGCGTGTTTATATTCTTTTTTTATCATTTCACTTGACCATGTTATTGTATGTATTATCTTTAATTATTATTTTATTCTTCACTAATCAAAGAATATAATTTGTAATTCTAAGCTAAAGGAACCAGAATTTCAAAATAAAAAAAAAACTGGGACACTCTTGGTTTGTGGTGGTTGGTAATAATAAAATTATGAAACGAGTGCATAATAAGGAAAACTGTTCTGCACTTGGCTCATTCATGACGAACCTGTGAGTTAGTATAGTCACATTTTCTTATGTTTTGGTCATTTTTTAAGCAGCTTTTCTGTATTTTACCTCTACAAATGTCAATGTATGCCACTTTTTACTGTTGCAGGGATCAGACTGGTCCAAAATAGGGACACCTGGGACATTTCTTGTAAAAAACTGGGACAAATCATTGGTTTTGGATAAACCTGCTGGGACAAGGGACACAGAGCTCTAAACTGGGACTGTCCCTGGTAAATAGAATGTCTGGTCACACTATTCTAAGCAAATACACCTTATTCCTGCCCAATTTTGTCTCTAAAACAGACCAGGGCATTGTACAGCTGCTGGGCCACATACAGTCCTTTGTTTGACTGAGTGGCACCTTGGTTAAACAGGGATCCCATTCATCATTGGAGAATTTGGGAAACGTTTTGTATCTTAAATCAGCATCAGAAAATCAGTTCATTTGTGTAAAATGTTGAGTTTTTATGTGACAAAGTCATACTGCACTGATTCTCTGGAGGCTTTAAAGTGACTTTATCGCACATATTCAACTGATTTGTTTTTAACGATCGGCCCCCAAATCCTCATGGCGACACCCACGGCAACTTCCAGAGTAAGACCTCCACTGCACCTCAAGCCAGAACCCAACACCAAACCCGTCCAATTAGATTTCTTTATTTGAGTGACCCATGTAAAACGCAGCTCATTGTCTCCATCATTTACAAACAAAATCACTTTTCTCTTACTTCACATGAAGAGTTTATTGTTGCACTCGTTGATTCTGCAGAAATGTAAAAATTATTTTCAGTCTCTTGTGATGTTTTTTTTTTTCTTTTTAAGCAGTCATATTTGTTTATTTATTTATTTGAGACACAGGAATGATGCTTGTCACTGGAGGCCCTGCTCTGTTTGAGCTTCTTTTAAAATAAAGCTCAGATTAAATTCTTAACACAGTCTGATTATATAAAAAAGACTGAGACTGCATGAACCCTTGCACTGGCAAGGGTTCATGCAGGCTCCTGAAAACGTGGTCTTTAAATCACTTTTGTATTTTTTCTTGAACTTTCACAAGCTCTTAAAACATGTTTTTTTTGGCAGTTTGTTGAACATTCTGCCATAGAGGTACATGTACAACACCCACAGCGAGAAGAAATCTGTATTCTAGAGTAACTGTAATTCTGCCATATAAAAATATAAAAGCTTGTGTATTTTGTCTGTCCCTTTTTTTAGCGGACACTATTTGTGTCCCTGTCCCAGTGGATTTGTCCAGAACCAGTGATTTGTTTCAGTTTTATACAAGAAATGTCCCAAGTGTCCCTATTTTTGAGCAATCTGATCCCTGCCAACAGTAAAGAGACACATAAACTTTAAGTAGAATACAGAAAAAAAGCTGCTCAAAAATGTCAAAAACACGAAGAAAATGTCAAAATGTCTGTTTTTGTAGGTATTTTTGAGCTGTAAAACCACCTGTAATTGAGTGAATGTAAAGTAGAGCTGTTTAATGTCACACTGTGGAACATTCCAGGCAGAGTAATGACGTCTCCATAGAAACAAGCAGGTAATGAACCCTCCACCAGAAAAGTTACACAATCCATCCATCCATTTTCTTCCACTTATCCGGGCCGGGTCATGGGGGCAGCAGTCTAAGCAGGACTCCCAGACTTCCTTCACCCCAGACACTTCCTCCAGCTCCTCTGGCGGGACCCCGAGGTGTTCCCAGACCAGCCCAGAGACATAGTGTGTCGTGGGTCTTCTCCGGGGCCTCTTCCTGGTGGGTCCCGTGTGACTGAGCTACACAATGTTACACAAGTTACACAATTGGTCTTTAAAATGTTTGTGCATGTTTTGTGAATAAATAAAATAAAAATCAATCAATAAAGCTGCCATTTTGAATTCTTATTAACCAAATTGATTTATTGATGCTCGAACAGTCCCTCTGCTCAGACACGCGCACACACACACACCAACAGTTAAATACAGAACGCGGTGATACAGCAGAGCTCACGTGGCTGCACATGCTCCATCATAAACCATATTTACAAGAAAAGATTCAAAAACAAAAACAGGAACAAAAAAAAAAAGAAAAAAAAAAAAAAAAAGGAGGACAAAAACAACATCCTGATCCCAAACAACTAAATCCAGCAACATTTTATCATTTCATTCGGGATTGGACAAAAATTCACCCACGGTTTTTAAAAAGGAGAGAAAGAGGAACACAAAACAAAACAAAACAAGGTAAGGTAAGGTCTCACTTCATAAAAACTACACTTTAATTAGCCTTAAAACATAAACAAAGACTTAATTCTAATGAACAAAGGCTTAGAATTGATTTAATGAAGAGGTTTTAGGTGTTAATTAACAAGTAACTGAGCCTGAATGAATCTTAGTTAATAACAATTTGCTCATTATGAATAAAGTCACTGTGGATGCTTTACATAACTTTTCTTGACATCTCCACATAGTTTTGCCTAGAATAATCCACAGTACGGCATTAAATTTCTGTATCTTTGAGCAGAAGAGCATTTGAGGACACCAGATCAGACTTGAGGTCAGATCAGTCGTCAGGTTTCATGTTTTTCAGAGTCGTTTTGTAGCAATAAAAGCAGCTGGAATTGAATAATAAATGCAAGATATAACGTTTAATGCAGCACTGCGGAACTTTCCATGGAGACAAGCAGGTGAAAACAGTTCAACAGTGCAACGTTAAAGCTATTTAAAGTGTAGTTGTTATCGAAAGCGTTCCCCCCAAAAGTAAAGGGTTGATTTGGCCAATACGGAGTAGCATAAAATGAGAATTCTCACTACATTGGTATGGCAGTAACACTGAGTACTTGTATTTACAG